CCCCGTGCCACATCAGGAATGTGGGACAGAGGTCACCTGCTTATCAGGCCACTCTCCCCCCTGCCCGGTCGGGATGGCGCGATCCTCCTCCCTAACTCTCCTTGTTCCCCACGACCCGGCCGCACAAGTGCACGACTGTTCAGCACGGACAGAGTTATCATTCAGGGTAAGAGTATGTGTTTGTGCTCACGAGCATAGTGGTGGGGGGGCAGATTGTACCGAGCCGTGCTGTGTGTCGTTGTGACACGGGGGCAACTGACAGGCAGTGCGAATGCTGGGGTCTTTCAGCAGGAGGCACTGTGCATCCAGATGCCCCCCCGCCCCCGCCCCCGCTGAGGCCAAGGCCACACGTCTGCACGCAGTCCCCTACAATGCGAGCCACGGGCAGACAGCCACAGGGGGTGCTGAGGTCAGTGCCCGGGGGAAACTTCACCACAAACAAAGTCGCCTCAGCCCAGACAGGGGCGGGCGCTGCTCACTGGCCCCGCCCACCTCGCTGGCCCCACCCCCTCTGGCTCCACACCGCACCCTGTCAGAGCCCGGGACCCCTCCCTGTCAGAATGTACCCCCCCTTCCCTCTCAAACTGCTATTGATGTGAAGGTACTTCTTCTGGTGAATTGTCCCCGTCTCCCATCATTACACGCAGATGGTGAACAGGAAGTGATGCTCTCTGCAGACCCCCCCCATCACTGTCATTCGCTTTCTCCCTCGTTTCTCTGACTCACCCCCGCAGTGTCTAAGCTTGTTTCCGTGGCATCGGAGCACAGCCCCCTACGCCTGCCCTGGAATGCAGTGTTAATGACCATGTCAGCGGCATGGGGCCGCCAAGGTGATGAGGGCGGGGCTCTGAGGCACACGCGTGTGCGGGAACCTGAAACAGCTGCCCTCCCCGTCACACAGAGCTCTGAACTCAGAGCCCTTGGCTCAAGGTCACCCTTCCGGTCTGCCGAGCCTGAAGCCACACCTACCCCTCTGAACTCAGCCAGCACCGGGCCTGGCCGAGAGCGCGAGTGGGGTGGCAAGTGTGTGCGTGTCTGTGTGTGGGTCTGTGGATGAGCATGTATGTGTTTCTGAGTCTAGATCAATAATAAAAATAATAATAACAACTGATACTTTTTATCCCCATGGGGAAATTGTCTTTACGCCTCCCCCAACTTGCAAGCTGGACACAAAGGGCAGCCACCCATAGCAGCACCCAGGGGGTTGGGGGTTAAGGACCTTACTCAAGAACCCGCAGACGTGCTGAGGCCAGACTCGAACCGGTGACGCTCTGATCAAAGGCACAGCCACACACTGCCCCGATAAGTATATAAGTGTTTGTGTGTGAGCGTGAGCAAGTGAGTGTAAAAATGTGTTTGAGCGTGTATACCAGTGTGTGTCAGTAACTGTCTGTCTGTGGGTTTGTGTACGTGTGTCTGTCTGCAAGCTGTGACAGTACCTCTCTCGCTGGCTGCGGTTTTGTCTCCAGGCAGCAGCACATGCACCCAGCTGCTGGTGTTTGCAGAATCACCCGGAACTCCCCCTGGGGCCCTCTGGCCGCCCCCGTCCATCTGAGCCACGACACTGAACTCAGGGTGAAGAATTGGGCGAGTTCAAAGGAACAAAGTCACCACCGCACCATAACCAGAACCTTCCAGAATGAGGGGAAAAGTCTACGGCTATAAAAACTGATGGGGGGGGGGNAGAATTGGGCGAGTTCAAAGGAACAAAGTCACCACCGCACCATAACCAGAACCTTCCAGAATGAGGGGAAAAGTCTACGGCTATAAAAACTGATGCGAGGAGGGTGCTGGTGCTACTAGCAGGTGACGACTGGTCGGGGCCAGTGGCGGCTGGTCACCTTTCACCTGGAAAACAAGGACATCTCCTCCCGCAGCTGGAGGGGACGAACATGCATTGCGGAGGGAACGGCCCCACATGCTCCTGCTGCGCCGTTGCCGTGGTGATACTGGTCTCCAACGGCCACTGCCGGCAAACGCACGCGCGTTAGCGTGTGCCGCTGACAGGCACTGCCGCGTTCACACCCCTCAACGCCAGGACCACCCTTTGCCTTCAGGACGGGATCCAGCCGCACGCATGCGACACATCCTCCCGCCCACATTCCTCACATTCCGACCGTTACGGAACAAAAGGCGGCACTCCTGTGCGCCTCACTGGAACGCCAAAACTAGAATCCGAACATCAATCTGAACGGAAGCCAAAGCCCTGCTCCCTTCAGGTTCCCTTCAGGGTCCTGTGAGAGCAGCACTGCGTGGCACTGCGCCAGGGACGGGGCCAGGCGGCACACGCGCTGCAGTGTTTTCCCCGCTGCCGTGCATTTGAGATTCCCTTGTCCTCCGCGCCACTGTTTCGCACACACTGGCACAGCCCTCCACATTCCCGAATAACCAGCCTGGGCAGCTGTGACAGAAGGCACTTCCCAGGCCGGAATCTTCTCCTCGTTTTTTTTTTTTTTTTTAAACAAAGCAGCTCTAGGCTCCTTTCTTGGGTTTGGGGCTAAGGAGCCAGAGTGGAGCAGCCTGGGATGGCAGAAGCAGAACCCTAGCATTGTCACAGCATCTCCCCAGAAACTACTGGAAGCATACAAGAGAAGCATATGGAAGGGTTTGGGAACAGCGTACGGAAGTGTCCAGGGATCGAGTACGGAAGTGTCTGGGAATAGCACAGGGGGGGCAAAGCAAGACATGGTGTGGTTGCCCATAAAGACAGACACAAACATGCCATTCTGTGTTTACAGAATGCTGTGGCACCCTTCAGAAAATCAATCAGGGTAACACCAGGCTCAGTGTGACTACGTAACACTACTGCGCATAATCGCAAGTGAGGGGCAGAGATGCCTTCTCTATTGCAGGTAACAATGACACCGTGATTAATAACATGGACAGCGCACACAGCCAGTACATGTGACAGCAACTAACAATAGGCCTACGATGACATGCACAAACACTGTTGATAACACCGTCAATGCACACGGACCCCAGCCCGCCTGCCATGCGGCCGTGTGGATACCGAAACGCCTCCGCCTCTGGGTTTATCCCGCATTTCAGGATCGGACCGAAGTCTACGCAACACTGCTGCTCTATTTTAACACTAATGGTATTTAACGTGAACATGTGCGGCTCTTACGCACCCAAACAAATGATCAGTACAGTTCAGTAAACGGCTGCGTGTTTTATTCCTCTCATCAAAAGAACTCAGGGCGATGCTTTCCCAAAATGGGTCGGTCCCCGTAAAGCCCACCCTGATCAGGCCATCAAATCATTTCATTTCCACAAGCTCCGTTCCCACGGAAGGTGATCCGAGCCCCATACACGCATACGACCTCACTTATCAACGCTTATTATCGGCTGCATGGTTTCCCAAGACAACGGCGACAGCTGTAAAGGGGGGGGGGGGTCGTCGCAAGGAAACGAGCCGCGCATGTGGGTCAATTACTGCGCCTGCCTGACACGAACACCCCGACCCCAGCATACGTCTTACAGCATCGGACAGTCACTG